TTTAAATAGTTCAACTGGAATGCCATCACCTCCACTGGCCTTGTTGTTACCCATGCTTTCTAAATCCCACTTGACTTCACTCTCCAGAATGTCTGGCTCGAGGTCAGCAACCACAGTATAGTGGTACCTTGACTTATGAACAAAACAACACAGAAACATAACCCCCCCAGCCCAAACCTACCCTCCAAAACCCACCCAGATCAACTCTTTTAAAAAGAAAAAGCAGAACCTTACCTCCACGCCTTCGGCGGCGCTTACTCACAAGTAGACCCGTGCCAGGGATGGGAAAGGAGTGCACCGGCTTCCTCCTGCTCCGCAGAAGTAAAAAAAGTTCCCTGACCTCCTGCTCTAACTGTTGGGGCAAAAGAGCTACAAAGTAGCAGCCTCTTTGCCACCAGCAGTTTGAATTTCCCGCCCTTTTTCGCTGCCTTTTTTCATTCGTAGGTCGAAGCTCCATTTGCAAGGCAATCCAGATTTTTGCAGACGGAGCTGTTTGTAACTTGAAATGTTGGTAACTAGGGATGTTCATAAGTCGCGGTTTGGCTGTATCTGGGTTGTCCGGGACATCCAGATCTTTCTGATATAATTCCTGTGTGTATTCTTGCCACCTTTTGCTGCATTTTGTCTCCCTTCTCTTCTCTGCTATTTGTAAGGCCTCGTTGGGCAGCCACTTTGCTTTCTTGCATTTCCTTTTCTTTGGGATGGTTTTTGTTGCTGCCTCCTGTGCAATGTTATGAGCCTCTATCCAAAATTCTTCAGGCATTCTGTCCGCCAAATCAAGATCCTTAAATCTGTCTTCACTTCCACTGTGTATTCATAAAGGATTTGGTTTAGATTATAGCTGACTAGCCCAGTCTCTTTTCCTACTTTCTTCAGTTTAAGTTTGAATTTTTCTCCAGGTCTTGTTTTTTCGGACTGTATAGAGCTTCTCCATCTTTGGCTGCAGAGAATATAATCAATCTGATTTTGGTATTGTCCATCTGGTAATGTCCATGTGTAGAGTCACCTCTTGTGTTGTTAGAAAAGAGTGTTTGTGATGACTAGCTTGTTCTCTTGACAAAACTCTATTAGCCTTTGTCCTGCTTCGTTTTGAACTCCAACGCCAAACTTACCTATTGTTCCGTTTATCTCTTGACTCCCTACTTTAGCATTCCAATCCCATATAATGAGAAGAACTTCTTTCTTTGGTGTCAGTTCTAGAAGGTGTTTTAAGTCTTCATAGAATTGGTCAATTTCAGCCTCTTCAGCATCGGTGGTTGGTGCATAAACTTGGATTACTGTGATGTTGAAAGGTCTGCCTTGGATTCATATTGAAATCATTCTATCATTTTTGAGATTGCATCCCAGTACAGCTTTTCCCACTCTTTTGTTGACTATGAGGGCTACTCCATTTCTTCTACGAGATTCTTGCCCACTATAGTAGATGTGATAATCATCTGAGTTGAATTCACCCATTCCTGTCCATTTTAGTTCACTGATGCCCAGGATGTCAATGTTTGTTCTTGCCATCTCCTGTTTGACCACATCCAGCTTACCAAGGTTCATAGATCTTACATTTCAGGTTCCTATGCACTATTTTTCTTTGCACCATCAGACTTTCCTTTCACTTCCAGGCGCGTCCACAGCTGAGCATCCTTTCGGCTTTGGCCCAACCACTTCATTATCTCTGGAGCTACTTGTCCTTGTCCTCCGCTCTTCCTCAGTAGCATGTTGGATATCTTCCGACCTGAGGGCCCCATCTTCCAGCATCATATCTTTTAGCCTTTTGTTTCTGATCATGGGGCATTCTTGGCAAAGATACTGGAGTGGTATTGCCAATTCCTACTCCAGGTGGATTGTGTTTGGTCGGAACTCTTCACTATGTCCTGTCCGTCTTGGGTGTCCCTGCACGGCATAGCCCATAGCTTCTCTGAGTTACTCAAGCCCCTTTGCCACGACAAGGCAGCAATCCATGAAGGGGAGCCAAGAAGTAAGTCTCATTATCTTTGGCCATTCCAAGAAAACCTCTAAAAACCAGTATGGCTGGTTACCAATATGAACCTCATCTTCTAAAGGATCTTAGCCTGCAAGGAGGAGTAGATTAAATCTCCCCTCCTTTGTACTCTGAGTTGGGAAGAAAATACTGTGTCCATGGGTGGGGTTGCATGTGTTTGAGATTAGGGGCTTAATCATTGGGTCAGAGACCACCAAGGAATGCCAGGGGTCTGCAGGTAGGGGTGTGGAAGAGTGCTGCCAGATGTTCAGTCAGAGTGGACAGTCCGATGCCAGATGGAGCCGTGGCCTTACTGCAGCTTCCTGTGTTCTTGTGGCCTCCTCCTTGCCACATGTGCATCTCTGGTGAAGAATTTGCCCACCTTGAGTGGAAAGCTGTGCATGGCTTTGGACAGGTCAGCGTGAATAACTGTATATTAAACTTGCCTGAATGCTAACGCTATTAGCAAAGGCTTGTGGTGGCACCATGGTTACGCAATGCCCCTCACTCCTGAACCTGTCTTGTTGCCAATTCTGTTACCTGTTCGTCACCAGACGGGAACCTTTTGCTCTCTTTAACATTTCTGTGTTGTAACTTATTTTAGCAGCTGGTCTTACTCCTGTTTTTCCCTGCATTGTTTTGCTTTATTCTGTGCCTTTTGATTTTTATTGTGAACCCTTCAGGAGGTTATCTGGCTTAAGAACAGTATGGAAATACATAAGATAGTTATAATTTTCAATGGGAGGTCAGTCTGTTACGGAGGGTCCTTCACAAACGTAGAAATTCAGGCCCCTGTCGCCTTTCCATGACTAACGGTGGAATCTCAGTGTATTAAGATCTTGGGTCTGTCATACTAGCCAGCACGTACCCTCTTCTTTTTGGAGAAAGTGCCATTGCCTGCATCTTTCCTTCCTTCCTGACCTTGGCCATCTGTTTCTGTTTTCAGTATGACTTCTCCTTGGAGAAGAAAACCATTGAGTGGGCCGAGAATCTTAAAAGAATCCAGGCTGCCCAGGAAGAGGCTGAGCGCAAGGCTGAGGAGGCTGTAGCAGATGCCAAGGCTGTGTTGGAGGAGGAGATCCGAGCGGGTGGTGGTCCAGGGGGGGCGGTCATGCCGCCTCCTATCAACCCGATCCTTGCTAGTTTGCAGCACAACTACATTCTGACGCCGACTCCTGCCAGCAGCAGTTCCTTGAAGCAAAAGGTCCTGAGCCCATCCCACACCAAGGCCGATTTCAACCCGGCAGATTTCGAGTGTGAAGAGGACCCCTTTGACAAACTGGAATTAAAAACGCTTGACGACAGAGAGGAACTGAAGAACATTCTGCAGGTCCATGCTGGCACCACCGGGCCGATTGTCGCCCAGCGTCTAGACAAGAGCTTGCCCAAAGTAACCTCGGAGTCTGTGCTGCAAGACCAGGAGGTTTTGGCCTCCTTGGAGAGGGCAGCTTTGGACCTCAAGCCTGTTCACAAGCCCAACGGTCTGATCGCTTTGCCCCAGCTGGGGGGCTGTGAAAAGATGCCGCTGTCTTCCAAAGTGTCCCTGTCGCCGGTGACGTCCGTGAGCAATATCAAGTCTCTCTCCTTCCCAAAGCTCGACTCAGACGAGGCCGAGTTGCAGACCGCAAAGCTTGCGAGCACGTACCGCAGCGCGGCCTGCCTCCACAATGGCACGTTCCTCGGCTCTTTGCAGAGCAAAGCCAGTGAACTGAATGGGCATCACGGAACAACGGGGCTGCCCGCCCTTGGTGGGGAGGGAGGCCCCGAGACAAAAGCCACTTCGGTAGCATGTACAGAAGAAATTCCAGCTCTCACCACAGCCACCGCGGTAAGCATTCATGCCAGAGGGGAGGACTCCCTTGGGGCTAGTTGGCCAAAACCGGGATAGAGAGTAAGAATGGAATTTTAAACACAGTAGCGAGCAGAGTCGTCCAGTTACTAACGTAAATGTTTTGCTGCATTAACAGAAAACTTGATTCCCCCTGGTCCTTTTTGTTGTTGCCAATTTAAATCTACCCTGCTATGAGGGTTGTCATTCCCTTTTATGTCCAAACTCTTGACTTCCACAGTTTTCAGTTCTGAAAATTATTAAGATTTATGATTCTGCCACATGCAACATGGTTATCTAGATTCTGCCACAGAAAGGAAGATTTTGTCTAGTATATACGAACCTTTGCTTCTCAGGCGTTCTGGTCATTTGCTGTGTATTACAATATGTATAAGGTGAAGGTTCCCCTTGACATTTAGTCCAGTCGTGTCTGACTCTAGGGTTCGGTGCTCATCCCCGTTTCCAAGCCATAGAGCCGGAGTTTGTCCTTAGACAGTTTCCGTGGTCACGTGGCCAGCATGACTAGACACAGAATGCTGTGACCTTCCCACCGAGGTGGTCCCTATTTATCGACTCGCATTTTTACATGCTTTCAAATGGCTAGGTTGGCAGGAGCTGGGATGAGTGACAGGAGCTCCCTCCGTTGCGTGGGTTCGATCTTACGATGGCTGGTCTTCTGACCTTGCAGCACAGAGGCTTCTGCGGTTTAACCCGCAGCGCCACCCCATCCCTTACACAATATGTGTACCCAGACATGAATTCCATTTCATTCTGCGGGACTCTTTTCCAAGTGAAAGCATAGAAGGTGAATGGATCCGTTCCGGCAAGCTGTTCTTGCTGGCTTCCTTGTACGAGTACCTTTGCCTTGTCCAGACGCAGACATTTCTATAGGGGCACAAGGCTTGGTGGGCCATATGATCCCAGCTTTTGAATTTTAACCTTCACACAATCTAAAGATTCTGTTTAGTTGACAACCAGATGGTTTATTCTGTTAGAGCCACCAGTGAGAATGTATGGTATTGGTCAAGAAATGATGAATCTGGGAATGGGAAGTTACATAAACCAAGAAACAAACTTGGTCTTTTCCTTTGTGATGGAAGTCACTTTGACGTATTTATTTAGAATAATTGTACCACATTTCTCAAGGTGGAATGAAATTATATTCTTGAAATCTAGTACAGTGGTGCCTCGCTTAACGAGCGCACTGTTTAACGACGAATCTGCATAGCGATCTATTTTTTTAGCTCGCTAACGCGATTGCATTGCAATGTTCTGAATAGGCAAAACATCGCGTTGCGATGATCGGTAAGCGTTTCGCTTACCGATCTTCGCATTGCGGTGTTTTTTTAAACAGCTGATCGGTGGTTCCAAAATGGCTGCCGGGTGCCCAAAATGGCCGCCGCAAGTGTTTTCGTGCCCTGCCCTCATTTACCGAGGGCGCGAAAATGGCGGCGTATGGAGGAACTTCGCTGAACGGTGAGTTTGGGAGCCATAGGAACACATTAAACAAAGTTTAATGCGTTCCTATGGCTTTTTCCATTCCGTTTAGCGATGTTTCTGTATAGCGACGATTAATCCAGAACGGATTAACATCGCTATGCGGGGCACCACTGTATATAGGAACAGAAATAATGCCCTATGGAATCGTAACTGTTCAGGAAGTATCTTTTGCCACCAGCCAGCAACGGCATGAGATCCACTAAGGCTAGTGACTCAGGGTACTGCATAGGCTTCTAGGCCAGCAACTTTGTGAAATAGGCAGAACTCATGCGTAGTGAATTACAGTTGGGGGAAAAGCTAGTCTTGTGAGAAGGAAGCGAAGGGAGATTTTTCTAAGGAAACAATAACAGGGTGTGGACGACAGCGAAGAAGAAAGGAAAGGGGCTGCATTAGAAAGCCATCAATCAAGTCAACCCCGTCTGCATGGCCAGAAACCTGCACTTCAGAGACCTGTTCTGTGAAGAAGACTTGTAAAAATAACTTGCAGGATGTGCAACAGGATTAAGTTTAATCCCTACAGGCCAAGAACCAGGATAATCTCAAGAGGGAAATCCATTCTTGCATCACGGCTGTGTTGCAGTCTCTGCTGGCCAGTAAATAACAGAGAATCCCCATCCAGGACAAAACTTGCCATTCATTTCCATAACACATTTAGGCACGAAATGAAGGAAGACCACCCTGGGGGGGATACCAGAGCATGCAGTAGATTTCACGTCTCGTTTAACAGTCCCAGCCTGGACTATCTTCTCCAGCCTGTTCTGTATGAATAAGAAGCCAGCTAAGTGGTCTCCACAGAAAGGAGTCCTGGGGAATGTGTACTACTGTTGGAATGGATCACATTCTTCTATGTTGGGGCCGAGAACCTTGGGCTCTCCCGCTGTGGATCTGATGCCCCCCCAGTGCCTCCCTAATGACGGACTAGATGAGAATTGTAGAGCCGCATCCTCTGGAGAGCTACAGGCTTTCCCCAGCTGCATGCTACATAGGATCTTTCTCACAACAAGCTGGAGCCTCATGGCACAGCGGTCAAACTGCAGTACTGCAGCCAGAACTCTTTGCTCGTGACTTTGGTTCAGTCCCAGGTAGCTGGCTCGAGGTTCACTCAGCCTTCCATCCTTCCAAGGTTGGTAAATTGAGTAGCCAGCTTGTTGAGGGAGGGAGCGATGCATAGCCTGCATAATTAAATTATAAACTGCCCCGAGAGTGCTGTCAGTGTTATGGGCAGCATACTTTGCTCTTTTTTTTTTAATATGTTGGGAATACACAGAACTTGAGCATTTCTTTCCCATTTTTGGCTTTCTTTGGTCCAGATGCAGCTGCACAAAAACAAAACAAACAAAATGAGAAAAATGAAATCTGTTTGACTGTTAGGTTGGAATAATATCTGAGACTTATTAGAAAGACCAGAAGAGTTTGTTTTCATGAATTCAAAACGTATTGTTTTATGTTTGGGAGAAGTTACATCTCAGAAATAATGAAACTGGTTCTTCATTTAGATAGAAAAAGCCTCCTGGTAGATATTGCCCTGTACGTTTGTGTTTTAAACCATGGCTGAACTTAAATTTAAGCATAGAAGTCTGAATCCGTATTTTAATTTATCCCACGCTTGCTCTTGACAGCGAGATGCATAGGGCTTGCCATGGCAGAAGGTGGCATGTTGTACGAGAACGACTTTGTGCTCTGCGTGGATGGATGTAGCCTCCACAGCCTCAGTCTTTCTCAAGTGCTCTCTGGGACATGTCGAGGGCAGCAGAAGGAAGGTCTCCATTGGAATCTGAGGCTTCACCCCCACCCCCACCCCACCCCTGTGTTTTTGATAGAAAGTCCACTAAGTACAGTTTATGGGACCTCTCTCTTCAGTCCTAGGCAGTGAGGTTTAAAGCAGGACTCCTGTGCATCATTTTGACCCAGTTAAAACAATCATCCTCTTAGAACTGCACAGCTGGAAGGGACCCTACGGATCATGGAGAGCAGCCACTGTCAAGGAAGCACAATCAAACATGGACTTCCAAATCCAATGTCCTGTTTTGGACACCAACCAGAGCGACGGAGGATATGAAATGGAAAGCTAGGCCTCTCCATGACCCACCCCACGTCCTTGGGCTTTCCTCCCACTCTTCCAAGAAGCTCAGAACGTCATAAATGGGGTTGCTGGAGGCCCCCTGGCTCGCAAGTGTCATGTAAAGCCTTGTTTTGGTCCGTGTTGGGGCAGCAGTATTCCAACTGCTCTTCCTCTGAAAGGGTTTCCTTTTTTTCTTTCTTTCTTTTCTAGGTAACTCACCAAAGTTTCCCAACATCTCAAGTGCCCAACACCGCCGGCTGCGTGAAATGGCCAAGCAGCTTCGCCCACCTCGATGTGCTGCAGGCCCTTTCCTCCGGTGAGAGGCAGTGTGTGGAAACTGTCGTCAACATGGGTTATTCGTACGAGGATGTCTTGAAAGCTATGAAGAAGAAGGGGCAGAACATAGAGCAGGTAAGAGCGGCCGTTTTCCTTCTCGTGCAGCGAATCCTGCAAGGCAGATCTGCGAGACTTGATTAAAATCCCACTTGGCCCTGGCTGAAACGTTAGAGAAATAGACGCTCTGGGATTGGATGTGTCATCCCTTGCAAGATGGCACCTTGTGATAGCATGCATCATGGTCATGCTGGGGCCACAAACTCCGGGGTGTGTGTGTTTCCTCCAGAGGAAAAAAAGTGCTAGGAACATCTGAGAAGCCATGAAAATGTTTTCACAGCTAAGAATGTAGCTTGTCTGACAGCAGCTCCTGTTCTTTGTGGCCAGTGAGATTTGAACCGCCGATCAGCTGTTTAAAAAAGTTCGCTTTGCCATGATCACTCCCCCACGATCATCGCAAAGCGAATTTAAGCCATAGAGGACATTGCTAAGCAATCGCTCCAGCGATGGCCAAAAGCCATCGCAAAGCGATTTCATCGCTCAACGGAGCGATTGCTAAGCGAGGCACCACTGTATAAAGAAGACACATTTGGGTACAAGCTTATTCTAGGCAACCATCTTCTTCCAAGTCCTGTGTGAGATTACTCTGAAATTGTAGAGGAATCGTTTTTTTTCCTACTCCACTTCAAAATGACTGAGACTCAAGTAGAAATTTAATCCTTCAAGAGTTTTTTAATTTTTGAGAAAGTGTATGTTAACGTGAAACTGTGTTAACTTTACAACAAAATTGCAAATAATTTGCAAGCCATCTGATTTAGTCAAATAGCTAAAAGGAAGTTGGTCAAGACTCCCTATGTCTCCTTGAAAATGAGAGCAGAATACTAAAAGTTATAAAACCAGGAGGCTTTATTTTGGCTTTCATGAACTCACTTAACACACACACAGCTTACTAGAACAGATGACGCATGTTACAGAAAAGATACATAGGGAAAAAGCTGTGTTTAAAACATAAGGAGTTAATATGTCTAGCCTTATATTAGTATCTCCACTTCTGGGCAGGATCCATTTTTGCAATTATGTCAGTAAGAAATAATTTAGATTTTTTCTTTAAACAAAGTTGTCAACTATTTTTACAGTCTTTGGTTATTCTAATTTTAGTTTCTAGAAGCTTTGGAGGAGATTCTAAGATTTCATAGATTGTCATTATTTGGAGTTTGATGATGATGTTCCTATGTTTTCAAAAAGGAATTCTTAAGGATCAGCCATTCTGAAATTTTTTCCTTCTACGACTTACCGTCAAATACATTATTAGTACAGATGTTTGTACTAACATTTGTTAATTGTTCTGTGTTTGTAAGTGCCACCAAGCACATACACAATATGTTTTTTCTGCTGTGTTTATTTTGAAATATTGTGTAGGATCTTTATTCAGTTGGTTAGAATCTCTACATGTATAAATAGCTTCACATGAGAATGCTTTCCAGTTTGTGCAAAAGCAAATCAGGGCAGTGGTCCTCTTGCAAACACAATTCTTAGGGACTGTGTGTAGGAAGAAAGAGAAAAAAAATTAAACACGCAGCCCAAAACATTTGGGTTGTCATTTCCGCGTCTGGTTCTTCATAAGGATCCATTGCCTGGATGAAGTTGCTGATAAGCTTAGTTAAGGTAGATTAGCTAGGAAAGCTGTTAGGCGGATCGTGCCTGTGGAGTGAGTAATGCAGGCACAGCAAGGGCCTCCGTTCATTTCTGGCCTCTTCACACTTGCAGGTTCTGGACTACCTGTTTGTCCACGGGCAGTTCTGCGAGAGAGGCTTTGATCCACTCCTGGTAGAGGCGGCTCTTGAAATGTATCAGTGTTCAGAAGAGAAGGTGAGTGTTCCCTCGCTTGGAGCATAGCTGGTTGAATCGCTCGTGTGGTTCGGCTTAGTGCTGCTTGTTCGACTCGCTAATCTTCCTGCTGCTGCGTTCACGTGAGAGCAACCTCCGAATCCTTTGGCTTGTATTTTGAGGACCTAAAACAATAATCTCTCTCTCTCTCTGTCTGCTCTAGTAGCCATCCCCTTTCGTTTCAATCTGTGCTAAACCCTTCTAGCGGCTTCCAGAGTTCAGGTTGTGTCTTGAGTTTGACAGCCCGCATGACGAAAGCGGTGTGTGTGCGCGCACGTGAGCAAGCAAAGGTGCTGCTCTTCATTTGGCCTGAGGGAGGCCAGGAGGAGATATTTCTTACCTAAAATCTTTGCCCCCCCCTTGCCCTGTGCTTCTCCTTGGCCTCTGTCTGGTAAACGGAGCTGGGAGCTAAGAGTTGCTCAGGCGACAAAGGTCCAGAGTTGTCTTCTGTTCTGAGCTAGGCATCTGGATGTCCCCTGGAGGATCCAGATGGACTGCTGAGTATTGAGTGTGGGACAGGCTGGAGGGCATTTTACCAGAAATCCATTTACACAGGCCCCGGTGTTTGTTGCTGGTGCCAGTTCAAGCGATGCATTATTTGAATTATTGTCGCTATAAAATAAGGCAGAAATAAATGTGTGCTGCAGCACTTGGAAAAGGGGTGCTCTAACCATTACTGAATACTCACGTTGGGGGGTGTTTAGATGGTTTCTGCGAATTGGCCCTCCAGATCATGGGACCACTGGGCTCAACTACTCATGGTCCCCAACCTCCGTTGATAGTGCTGGTTCTAGCAGTTACAGTCCTAGATGGTCTGATCGCCTGCAAGGATCATCGTCTGTCTTACCGTAAAATCGTAGAAAAGTGAAGTTGGAAAGGGGCCTCCAAGGCCATCAATTCCAACCCCCTGCTCAACATAGGAAGTCAAGATATACTACGTCTACAGCATTCCCGTTGTCTGTCAGGGAGGTGACCTGATCAAAAAATGAGATGAGTCCACCTGATATTTTAAGGCCATCTGGAAAGGCCCAGCTTGCTATTATCTGGAGTACAGGTGGTAGTAATGTCCTATCTTCTCTGTCTCTGCACTGTGGGAGATCTGTCTAGCCTCCTGTTCTGTAATGTTTTTGCTGCTTCTTGAAGATTTGTCTGCTTAGGTAGCTATCTCATCTCAGCTGCTTAATCTCAAAACTGTCATAATGATTTCTGCTTTTGTGGTCCTTTCTAAAAACTGATTTATGTATCATATCAAGCTGCTTTCAATTGCTTTTGTTAGCTTGGAAGGCGGCATATGAATTCTGACATAAACTTCATTTAGAAGCTATCTTGGCAAGCCTGCGTTCTTTGCTTTTGGCTTCACCTAAATGAAAGACATCTGTTTTGCCCATCAAATGATGCACAGCTTTCTCCCAAAAGGGTCTTTTCCTAGAATGCTCTTAACGGTGTCCCCCTGCCTTTCTTTCTTTCTCTTTCTCAGACAACAGAACTTCTCCAGCTAATGAGTAAATTTAAAGAAATGGGGTTTGAACTGAAAGACATTAAAGAGGTATTATTATTACACAACAATGACCAGGACAATGCACTGGAGGACTTAATGACCCGGGCAGGAGCCAGTTGAAGGGTGACAAGAGGAGGAGCACATCATCTTATCCTGCCAACCAAACCTTTGCCATCATCATGTGGCTGTCTCTGTGGGCGTGGGAAAGAGACCACCACGACGATTCTGCCTTTCCAGGATGCTGACAAAGCCGGGGGAGCTGGTCCATCGGTACGCATCACTCCAGTAGGCTGTTCCCACCGGAGAGAGCCCAGTCCGCTTTCTTCAATTAAAGTTTAAGTGTCCTTTCCTAAGTTTCCTTTTCTTTTCGGTTAGGCCACGGAAAATCTTGACGGGAGCTGTACATAGCCAGGCCGGGCTCATTGTTTCCTCTCCCTCCTCTTGCACTGGACTTGGTCAGAAGTTATCAGCCAGGCTCTGAAACGAACCAGGCTTTGATTCTTTGAAGCTGTTTTCATTTGTGTGTCTGCTTGAACTGAAACACAAGACTCCTGGTCAAGATTTGCAGAAGTCTTACCTTTAGTGCAATTGAATTTTTAATTTGGTGGAGGGGGAGAAAGTCTTTGATTGAAGGTTAGTGTGTAACTTAGTGCAACACTGGTTCTGGAATTGCCGCTATGCATACAGAGAAGCTCTGCGGTTTGTTTCTGGCGTTTGGGCCCTGGTTATCCACACTCTTGCCAGCGCTTAAATAGATAAACTGAGTTCTCGGAGCAGGTAAGCTGTGAAGCCCCCCTACTTGGGACTGATGTTGAGCGATGGCTTTGAAAACCACCCCCGGGGGGCGGGGGGGGGGAAGAGTCTTCCCAGGCTGGCTGGGTTCCTGTTTCACTCCACAGGCCCTTCTAAAAAAAAAAAAAAACAACCAACAGCTGATTGTCCGTTTCAAATACAGTGTGAAATTGGAAGTCTTATCTTTTCAAGCACTTTGTTTTTAATATTCACCGCATTGGTTCCATTTTTTCCACACTGCTATAGTTACATTAATCTATTAACATCTAGTAATAGGAATCAGACTTTTGGTTTGGTTTTGATAGTAAAAAAATAAAAGGGTGTATTATGTTGTACATGGTTAAAGATCTAAATACATAAAATATAAGCAGTCTTGATGATCTTTGAAGTAATTTGCTAAGTATTTTGGTTCTGCAGAAAGATACTAATAAAAAAACTTAAAATATGTCTTGTGGTGTCTTGCTCTTGGGTTTTAGTACGAAAAATAAATGACTGACTGTAAAATAGTTATACCAGTTAAATCTATTATAACTGAAGAATGTATTACATTTACCCCAAGAATTCAGCATTTGAGGGTGCTTTGTGACTTCCATTAGTTTACGGATGACAGTGGCCAAAATCCTGTTGCACTACAGTAGGCCCATTGAATTGGGGAGTTGGTGAGCCAGCTCCTCTGTGTAAGCTCTACTGATAACGTTAAAGTAGATCACAACTACAATAAGCCCATTGGAATTGATGGAACGTCTGGCGGAGTTAATTTACCAAATCCCCACCAATAGTGGGCCTACTCCAGTGCAAATTACTTTGCTAAAAGTAGCAATATTTCAGCCATTATTCCTGTGGTCTTACATGGTGTTCTTGTGCACAGCAGAAGGCTTCACAGCTGCTCCAGATCTTGGAACACATTTACACAATTTGGAATAGCACCACACCACATTTTCCCCGTAGCATTTCAGTGCCTGATTTGCTGTAAGATTCAGAAACAGAAGTCAGCAAATGCTGTCATCTCTTTCCTCCTAAGATTCAAGGGCCACAGAAGCCATAGTAGGGTTGGTCTCTGATGTTCATTGTTTGATTTAGAAATACGTTGATTTGTGAATGACCCAAGGTAAGCAGAGTGCGTGTCAGAAGCATGTCCTGGTGTACAAGTGGCTTCTGAAGTTCAGCTTGAATGTTGCACTGAGGTAACGTGTGAGAGGATAACTTTTTCTTATAGACTTTTCTTCCTTCAAATGTGGGGAATTGAGTCACTTCAGGTAAAGACAGCTAAGCTTCTTAAGTGGCCAGCTCTCTGTACAGGATTTGTTATTTGATGAAGTTTGAGAGAGGGCTTGTAAAAATGGCATTACAGAGACAGGATGCTGAGAACTGAACTTCAGTCAAACATAACCCACTTGTGACTGTGGAAACTTCTTTTCATGCCTGAGTGTAATGTAACTTAATTAGCTAGTTTTGAAAAACACACCTCATTCCTTCTGAGTCACTTCCTGTACTTGGCAAGCCCGTTCCTTCCTCCGGAGAGCACCTTCGTTCTACTCCCAGAAGGCTCCCCTCCCGTCATTAATGAAAAAAAGGTGAGGACTGATTGATGTTCAGGGTGAAAGGGCAGGTCCTAACGGGAGAACCACCGTCAGCAGGTGCCCCCAAGAATATACAGAAAGCAGCTCATTGATCGGCATGTCTAAACCACACTTTGGTCAAGGGCTGATCCTGCAGCCACAAAAGGTTTTGACACTTTTAATGGTTGTGGGCCGAGCGCAGAGAAGTATTCTTTGCTGGACAACTAACTTCCTGGGATGGCACCGAAAGGGTGCCCGCTCCTCACTATGCCCAAGGGCCCCGTTCCGATGAATAATAATCACTTTCGGGAACTGTGACAATGACTTGATCCTCTGCTGTGCAAGTATTTCCCTAGTCATTTTCCTGCTGTGATGGATTCTTGCCCTAAGGCTTAATTAATTACATTTGATCTGAATACTTAATTTGACACATGCTAGACTGCTATGCAACAAATACATTTTTAATTGACACAAAATCATCCTTCGGCAAAATAGTATGGAGTTGACATGCATAGTAAAATGCACCCTAACTGAATTAATGTTCATTTTCAGCACTCTATTCAACTACTTGGGCCACATTCATCTTCTCAAACAAGGGAGCCTCTTGAAATATTTCTGTGCATTTAGTGGAAAGTGCACGAAGTCATGCCCCCCTCTTTCCCAGCCGCTCAACCACGTGAGGCTCTCAGTTGCAGGCCACCACCCCAGTCAGCAGGAGTGGTGCCCCCCCCAGGTTTGCATTTCTCCTCTAGACCCACCAAGCCTGTCCAGAACCCGCCCTCCATTGTGCCCGATTGGGGTTTTTTAGAAAGAGGTGCAAGTCATTGGCAGCCGAAGCACTCTTGCTCGTTTGAACGGATGGCCCAATGTTTGCAGAAGGCCATGTAGGTGTGAAAGCAGTCCTTCGCTGCAGGAAAAATTAACAGCGCTGTGGCCTCTTGCGTAGATCTGCGCAGGTGCCAGCCTGGAACAGAAAGAGGTTTGGGGGCGCAGAGGGGCCAGATCTTTCTTGCTCATTGAGACGAGGCTTGTGGCAGCTGTTTCTACATGTGTAAAAGTAGCAACAGCTGGATTGGGTCATGCCTGTTTGGACTACAGTTGCCACAGATACAAATGGCTTGAGAGGTACCCTGTTCTCCCCCCACCCGACTGCCCTTTGACAATTGTAGTAAAGAAAGAAGTGCTCTCATGTATCCTCCCCACCGCTCGCTTTTTTAATGCACTGCAAGGTGACAGACGCACTCTCGGCTCCCACATGGGCTTTTCTCCCCGAGATGAGGAAGGAGACAAATCAAACTTGCTCGAGGGCCGCGTCGTGCTGGGCTGTCGAGGAACGGTCCGGCTCAGGCCACTGAGGTCTCCTGCCATCCACTGTACCAGCATTTGATTTTATTTTTATCTCTAAAATTTCTCTTGCCGCTTTCTGGCAGGCTTAAACATCTTTTTTTTCACCCTTTGCCTTGGAGCCTGATTGCACTAGGGCGGCAGGCCATCTTCTTGGAAAATCAACCGCTTGCTGCTTGCTCCACAAAGGACATCCGCTTCCGTGCTAGTGAAATAGTACTGGGGATCTGATGAAATCACTGCTTCGTTCTCCCATCAGTATTCCTGCCTGGAAATCCTCTACAGCAGTGGTTCCCAACCTGGGGTCACGTTCCTGCCTGGAAATCCTCTACAGCAGTGGACTGCGGTTCCCAGAAGCCTTCAAGACCAGCTGTGCTGGCTGGGGTTTCTGGGGATTGCAGCCCCAAGATGAGGAATCACTGCTATACAGGAAAGCAAGAGAGCGCCAATTTCGCAGAGTTGGCAGGCCCGGATGTTTACTACAGTTGGGTGAATAAGCCATCTAAGAGTCCCCACTTCAGGCCAAACAATGAGTGTTGCCTGCACCGTGACCTTCAAAAACCCTTTACTGCATCATAAATTAAGATAGACATCTTGAGCTGGGAAAACACCCTGACCGAAGGCAATTATTCAGCCACTAGATAGCCAAGGCCTTAATGCAGAATGATAAACAGGGTGTGGAGGGGATGATTTCCTTACAGATGGGAACATGATCCATGCCAATTACTTTCTCACGCTCCTGTTTTGCAGTGGGGACATCAGGCTCACCGGCTCACCTGACCGCTTGTCGCTCTAAAATCTCAGGCTGTTGCAGCTCAGCCACGCTAGGGATTGTATTCCTTAGCTGGCGGTAGGCGTTCTTTGCCAAAGGGCAGCAGCTGGGAAAAGAGGTGGTGACGGTTTGCAGTAGGTTCACTTTTTCCAGAACTAGGACTCCCATTAGAGGGAAAACCTGTTTGGATGCTGACTGCCGAGAGGGACCGCCTCTGTCACGGCCAGGCATAAGGGAGAGCGTGTAGAGTTCGCGCCCAAAGGGCGCCGCACGTGGGTTCTGTGTCTTCTCCATCTGAAACCAACTCTTAAGTCTTTTGCCAAAATGTACCAGGGGCAGGATTTCTGTCTTGAAGTCTCTGCTCCTTAGAGATGCGGGTGACTGAAAGCAACCTCCTTCATGTCTCTCCGTCATCGCTACTTCAGGGCTAACTTGGGGGAGTCCCCCCTGAAGGAGGACTTAAGAAAGGCTGCAGCTGGGTTCGCATTCCCTGGACGCATTTGGATTTCAGTGCCAGGATTCTGTCTAATTTCATTACGAAGTCCTCAAAATCCTAGTAAGGAAGAGAACCAGAGGAGGAGATAAAAGTTGGGGTGATGAAGGTCAAGAGTTTCATAGGTGGGAGACACTGGACAAGTACCAGATACAAGTCATGAGTTCTGTTCTGTTCCAATCAAAAGTGCCAAGCAGTTCACAAACACCAGCTCTAGTATTGTTTGTCACTTATAGGAACCTAAGAGGGGAAATTAACTATTTATTTTATTAATTAAAAATATTTTTTACCCTGCCTTTCTCCTTAAAAAAGAATCTGAGGCAGCTTACATCATTAGAAACACAATATTAAAAGCTAAAAAAAATAAATTATTCAAGTATTAAAAAACATCATACAGTGGTGCCTCGCTTAACGAGTGCACCGTTTAACGACAAATCCGCATAGCGACGTGTCTTTTGCGATTGCTAATGCGATCGCATTGTGATGTTTGAATAGGCAAAACATTGTATTGCGATGATCGGTAAGCGTTTCGCTTACCGAT